TGCTGGTGGTTTTGAATAACGCAAAAAGAAACCCACTAAATATCGAACTTAAATCCGTTTGCAGACTGAAGCTATCTCTGGCGGTTAAAAAGATATAGTATTTTTTAATGTTTATTGGATTTAATTTCTAAAATAAAACAAATTTTTATTTTTTGTCCATCTTTTCATAATATACTCACCGAGACCTATCCATAGAGCCCAAACTTGACCAATTTATCTCTTTCCATCGTTGAGATAAATAAATTTGGTCCAATTAGCCGCCATCTTGAAATTAGTTTTAATTGAATATCTCATGAACTTGACTGTCGAAAATTGTCGTGCTTGACCTTATTTTGATCGGGAGCGCTTGACGAAGCCAATTTCGTGATCACCTTACAAAAAAAATTATTGGTACATAAAGTCAGCGGGAACGTATAGCTCAAACGATTTTATAGAGATTGAGTCCAAACTTGGACTATTTAGAGTTTAAATTGGCTACAGAATAAATAAAAGAATTTTTTGACCGCCATATTGGAAAAATTCCACTAATTATAACTCTGGTATAACTCAACCGATTGTAGTCGTGTTTGGGCTTAAACTTCTCAGGATCGTTTGAGGAGTTGAAATTCATTGTATAATCCAGGATAAGTGAGCTCAGTGAGTTAAAAAAAAATGTCCTGTAAATCCGGTTCCTCGGGATCTAGCACTGCTAAACCAAAGCCTGCCAGAACAAGTAGAGGAGGAGGTCCAGCACCCAGTGTGGCTCTGCGTAGGAAAGTTTTGATTCAAAACGCAGCTACTTCTGGAAGAGCACCTGTAGAAGGTCAGGACGGCCGAGATCTTACGATGGTGGAGAGTGAATCTAAATTCACAGGCGTTGCTCCAATACAATAAGCTCATAGAGACATATGATGCCATAAAAAATACGGGCAAGATTGCTGAGTCAATACGTTCTTGGCTTAATTACGAAATGGATGAACCCATTAAGACAATCAGCAAAATCCAGCTTGAAATACATGGCCTTGCAATAAAGACTCAATCCTTACCCGCAAAGGAAACACCTATTGCCCATTTAGATAATTATTCTGAAAGCTATGCCTATCTGACAAGAGAAATATTAGAATTAAATCAAAAAATAACCAACCTAAGCCAGGTAGTACAGAAGTTCGTAAATAGAGAAACTGAATTAGAGACTGAAAAATCTTCTTGCGAGAGAAATAGCACACATATAGACCCCCGAATAGATCAAATGATTTCGGAACTAGAGAACACAAAAAAAATAATAGAAACATATCAAACTAAAAATTCATCGAGGGAAAGAGAACACAATGAGACAGCATTAACAAAAGAAGACCTAGAAAACTCAATAAATCCAATAACCCATCTCTTGAACACGGTACTCAATGAAATAAATGATTTTAAAGACTTCGATACAACCCAAATAACATTCCAAGGAAATACTGGATTAGGAACTGAGTTAGCAATAACTGAAATCAAAGATAAAATTAACGAACTTAAAAATATCTCCCATAATAACACTTATATAGATGAGGAGAATAATCGGTTAAAGCAAAACGAATCCGCTAGGGTATCCACTAATATCAATAAAAAATCCTACGCAGAAGCAACTAGTACCCCCCCGCTTTGCAATGATAATAGAGTCTATAGATCCACGCTCAACCTGCGAAGATATTTTAAAACAGGTCAGAAAAGATGTGGACCCAGTAGATCTAGGAGTACGCGTGAATAAAGTTTCCAAATTAAAAAATCAAAAAGTAATAATAAGCTGTGACTCTCAGCAGGACAGACACATTCTTAAAACCGCAATTCGTGACACCTGTGATAGGCTAACAGTGTCAACACCTGCAACTAAACACCCACAGCTGCGCCTAGTGGGCGTCACAAATGACTTAACAGACACCAAACTTGTTAAAGCCATCACAAGTCAGAATTGTTGTTTATTACAAGGGTTAACAGAAGAACAGAAAGGTATAAAAATCTTACGCAAAACCAAAGGAAGGGTTAGAGAAGTCAATAATGTTATACTCGAAGCCTCACCTCAAATTTGGTCAAAGCTAAAAAATCAAAAACTGCGGATCGGCTACCAAGTCATTCCTTGTATTGACCAATCACCACTCACACAGTGTTATAAACGTCTTGGCTTCAACCACAAAGCAAAAGACTGTAATAGTAAACAACGCTGCGGGTATTGTGCTGAGGAGCATGATACAAGGGATTGTCCGAATCGCAACAATGTTCCTAAGTGTTGTAACTGCAATATTGCCAGAAAGGACAACTTCTTACATCCAGCATACAGCCCAGAATGCCAAGAATGGCAAAAATGGGACAAAATTGCTAGATCATCAGTCTCCTATTGTTAAGAAATAGTCAACGAAAACACAAACTTAGAACTTCAGAAAGCTTCCAGTTCAAAGAAGCACATAAAATTAATACAGATAAATCTGGACCGTGGGCGGGCGGCGACACTTGAGTGCCTACGTGCAGCCACGATGCAGGAATACTCTGTGATTTTAATGCAGGAACCATACGTTGGTGCCAAAGCTCATTTAACAACGGGTTCTCAGTATCGGATCATACAAAAAGTTACCCATGATAGAGCCAAACCTGTTAGGTCGGCAATTGTTATCTGCGATCCTACAATACGATTTACTATCAATCCTACTCTCCTCTCTGAGGACATAGTTGGTGTAGAATTAGAACTAGGTTACTTAAAAATAGGTTTAATTAGCATGTATTTACATGAAAAGGGAGACCTCGATGAAGACCTACAAATGATCAGAAGATACAAATCAAACATGGCAACCAACGACATCATAATAGGAGGAGACGCCAACGCAAAGAGCATCTGGTGGGGATGCAAAGCAGATGACAGCAGAGGAAAAATCATTATGGAAACATTCGTGGAACTCAATCTTGACATCCTTAATGTAGGCACTACGCCTACATTTTCTGTTTATAGAATGGATAAATTATGCACTAGTATAATAGATATCACCGCTTGCTCACCATCATTACTCCATCGAATAAAAGACTGGCAAGTAGATGAATCACTATGCACAATATCAAGTCACAAATCAGTCTCATTCACTCTTGAAATAGAGTTTTTTAATAACACAATCAACACTCATGGCACAAGGATTTATAATACTAAAAAGGCAAATTGGAGCAATCTGAAAAAAGGATTTGAAAGAATTTTGCAGACATAATATGATTAGTGAGTCAATAGAAGAAATCAAAACACCACAAGAGCTAGAAGAAACAATAAATAAATACACCCAATATATATTGACTGCCTGTAACAACAATATACCTACAAAAAACCAGAAGCGAAAAGTAAAAAAATCCTGTTTGGTGGAACAACGAAGTAAATGAAAAGAAAACAGATATGATTAGGAAAAGAAGAAGAATAAGGAACGCAAACCCACGCAGAAGAAAGTATGTAATAGAACAATATCTAGAGGCAAGACAAGAATATATTAGCACAATTGAAAAGGCTACAACTAGAAGCTGGGTAAACCTCTGTAATAGAAAAGAAAAAGAATCTCTTTGGCAAAGAACGTACCGAATTTTAAAAGCTTGTTCAAACAGAGAACATGACAGGCTACTCCGCGACTCAAGTGGAAAAATCCTTTCAGTACTCGAATCAGTGAACCATCTAGCTGATACATTTTATCCATGGGACAATCCTGAAACTGATAATGCGGAACAGACTGAAATAAGGACTGAAATACAACAAATAATAAACAAACTTAAAAACGAAGACATATCAACAACCAAGTCGTTTACAGAATTAGAAATAAGAGAAATTTTCAAAAATATGAGTCCAAAAAAAGCTCCAGGAGCAGATGGCTTAACATCTGACATATGTCAAGCTGCATTTGAAAGCAACCCGGAAGTCCTGCAATCAATATACAATAAATGCTTAATATTAGGCTACTTCCCAAAAATTTGGAAGCAAGCAACAATTAAGGTTATCCCCAAGCCCAGCAAAGAAGACTACTCCCTGGTAAAATCCTATAGACCAATTGGGTTACTACCAGTTCTAGGTAAGGTTCTGGAAAAACTATTCGTAAATAGGGTCCAGTGGCAACTGGGAAGGGAAGGCAAAATGAATAATAGACAATACGGATTTACCCCGCAACGAAGTACTGAGGATGCCTTATATGATACAATTGCCCTAATAAAGAAGGGGCTTAAGAATAAAGCTATAGTTGCAGTAGTGTCACTGGATATAGAAGGCGCGTTCGATAACGCATGGTGGCCTGCTATAATAAAAGAACTTAACTTCAAACATATTGACAAATCTATGGTCAGGCTTATTAGTAATTACTTAACAGATAGAGAAATACATCTTAAGTATGCTGGACAGGAATTGAAAAAACCCACAAATAAAGGATGTATCCAGGGCTCTACATGTGGCCCAATGCTGTGGAACATCCTCCTCGATCCCCTACTCAGCGCAACTGAAAATATAGGCACTCACGTTGCCGATGATATCTTGATCGTCGCAACAAACAAGGATGGCCTAAAATTGGAAGAAGACTTAAACGATACATTACGAACAATTACAGAATGGGGCAAGAAACACAAACTTAAATTTGCCCCACATAAAACGCAGTCAATAATCCTAACCAAGAAACTTAAGTACCACCGACCACTTTTACAAATTGAAGGAGTATACTGCAGTTTTCAGATCAATTGAAAGTTTTAGGCCTCACAATCGACAAAAACTTAAATTTTAAGCCTCACCTTGATAGTGTCTGTCGCAAAGCAGCCAATATCTATAAAATGGTCTCCAGAGTAGCGAAAGCCCACTGGGGCTTAAACTCCGAAATTATAAAAACCATATATTTAGCGGTAGTCGAACCAACGATACTATATGCTGCTAGTTGTTGGGCGGAGACAACTGAAAAAAGATACGAACGAATACTTAATAGAATGACGCAGATCTTTGGCATACGTATTTGCAAAGGCCATAGAACCAACTCCCTAATCTCTAGTACAATTCTGTCCCAAATAATACCCTTAGCATTAAGGGCAAAGGAAAACGCAACTATATATGAGATCAAGAAAGGAAAGCCCATCGAGCTCTTACCCGGAAGACAACTAGAAAAGAGGATAAGCCCTTACGATTTGCCCCATCCATGTGAAAGGTCGCAGCGCAGTTTTGGTTTAATAAGCGAACAGAAAGACATCGACGAATTAAGTAACGACTGGGTAAAAATTTTCACAGATGGGAGTAAAATCGACACAAAGGTAGGTGCAGCAGTAACGATCTGGCAAAATAAAGTTGAAGTAAAGACAATTACCTTTAAATTAGAAAACTATTGCAGCGTTTTTCAAGCAGAGATGATCGCAATTTTAAAAGCAGTAAAGTACGTGGCCGACAGAAATTACCAAGGAGCAAATATTTTTACCGATTCAAGATCAGCTGTTATAACCATATGCGATCCAAGCTCTTTGAACCCAATGGCCCATAAAATTCGAGATGTGATAAAAATCATCGAGGACAAACAAAAGCAAATTCAACTGTTCTGGATCAAGGCACACTGTGGAATCCAGGGCAATGAAAGAGCAGACGAACTAGCCAAACGAGCTGCCACCAAAAGCAAGCAAAGGTCTGAATATGATAAATTCCCACTGTCGTATGCAAAGCGCCTCACCAGAAACACAACTCTTCAAATTTGGCAAAGAAAATATGAAGAATCAACAACCAGCACAACAACCAAGACATTTTTTCCCAACGTGGTTATAGCTTATAAGGTAATAAAAAATATAAAGATGAATAATTTAATCACACATCTGTTTACTGGTCACGGAGGCAATAACGCCTACTTGTGTAAGTATAAATTGACATCATCCCCGTGCTGCACATGCGATGAAAACGTAAACCAAACTGTAGAGCACATTATCATTGACTGTCCGCGTTTCGGTAGAAGAAGATTTGAAGCTGAATGCAGCGTGGGAATGACCATCGCAAAAAGTAATTTAAGTATTATAATCGAGGATAGCGCTTGCCGACCTATCTTTATGACATTTGCTCTTTACGCATTAAGAATTATAAGTAAGAAAAATGGTAGTACAATGGTAGAGTAAGCAATAATAGATGTAGCAAGGTGGGGAAAAAAAAAATAATTAAATAAGGATATACAAGTAGTTATAAATGACAATCTGTAAATATTAATAATAAGTTTAAAGAAAAAATAAATGTAAGAGTAAGAAGCTTTAAGTAATTTAATCTTAAATATTATTGATAAAGTTAGAAAATGTAAATATATATATATATATATATATATATATATATATATATATATATATATATATATATATATATATATATATACTTAAAAAAAAAACAAGAAAAAAAAGATAATTGAAATAAGTACAAAAAAAAGGGAAAGAAGAAAATAAAAACGAAAACATGAAAAAAAAAACTATAAAGGAAAAAAAAATTAAGTTTATATATTATCAAGTTAGTAAAATGTAATGTTTAGAATATAAGAATAATGTATACAACACAGCAAAATATACATACTTAAAGCAATCTTAGTTCAATACAATTAGTACTAATTATATACACATAAGAAAGGGCATTGCCCACTCTTCATAGACATTTCGGCCATGGGTGCCCACATATAAAAGCATATAGATATGATAATATACAATTAAAGGAATGAAATGGTTAAGAAATTGGTTAAAAAAAGTCGGGAATTTTAAGTTATAAAAGTTTTTATTTTCACAAATACAGTTTTTTAACAACTAATTTTACCTATGTTATCGCATTTAATTTCTTTGATTTTTAATTCCCGACTTTCGGGTGCTTTCCAGCACACATGGTCATGGGGGTTGAGGTGACTGGTGTACCGAAATCAGTGTTAACTTGGAGTAACTTCAGCTTTTTAATAACTATTTATGGTCCGATCTACGCAGAATGAACTTACTGTCCTGAAGTCTTGCGTGGTATGCTTGGGTTTAGTTTTAATTTTATTAATTACAGTGTCCCAAGCAGGTGGGAATACCCAGCTTCATTCTCTATTGAAATTAGAATGTTTGAATCTGGGTGCAATACATTACCGACTTCAGATTGAAACGAGGATGAACTAGATGATTCAGATAGTTCCCGTTCTGCAGTTGAATGTGATGCTGCTCTATCAAACCTTCGCCAACAATTATGAATCACACGAGATGACGATGGCAACTGAAATAATATTAAATAAAAAAAGTGAAAAAGTGAACTAAATAAAAATAAAATAGATTTGTTTCCTTTAAACTCAAGTACATATAAAATATTTATCAAGTTAATTGTTACTGCACAAAAGCAGACTTAATGGCCTATATTATTTAATAATTAAGCACTTAAAAACTACCAGTAGTCCAAAAACAATGAAAAATCAATTGTCTCATTACTTGGTAGTTGGTAAAAACGGTAGCAGTCTATCTGGTGGTGACAAGCTAATCTTATCGCCATGTTATAAATAAGCTTGTATGTTTGTCAGATATAGTTTGTGTGGATGTAATCAGAGTAAAAACATGTATCACTATCAGATATGAGCACACACACTTAATAAATAAAAAAATGTTGAACACGTACCTCACGTGGTGCAATTTGATGGGCAATTTCATTCCTTATGAGTTCCTCACGTGGAGAATCAGACCCAAACAATGTGTGTGATCTTATTCTCAAAAGTGACTTGCCACAGCTGATACATACATGTCCATGACTATTAATTGGTGAATTTTCCTGCGCTAGTTGAATGTCGTATTTGATTCCAGGCTGCAGTCTTAACATGCGTGGCATACTACACTATCACTCGAAACTTGTACCTAATAAAGAAGCCATAATTATTATATCAATTGATATAATTATAAGACAACTCAGTTAATAAGCATTGCTGCAATTGTAGAATGACGAACAGGAAGACATGACACATGATTGTAACTATTTACCTGCTGTGGTCGAACCTATTCTTGTATAAGATTTCGCAGTTCTGGAATTTCCAACAAATGCCTTCGTGTTTTCGCTATATGATGGGAAAAATGTCAGAGTCCATTTATAAGGCTAGTTCGTTACTTCGATAACAAATTCACAAAAATAAAAACAAACAAAGTAACACGCAAATGAATTCTACATGTGACTATTTATATAGGTATAGATATAGTTGTGAAATGTGAACTTAATTGTGATTTCATTCCATGACAAGGCCTAGCTGTCAGACTCGATGTTGCCACTTAACTGACATAAAATCGATGAAAAGATATTGATTTTTATTCGATTAATAATATCGTTAAAAAAACAATCTTTGAGGTGCTTTAAGTTCTGCACACTTTTTAAAATATATTTTCCTTTATTTATTTAAATGCTATTTGAAATGTATTTTTAAGAACAGTTAAATTGTGCAGTAGCGTTTTGTTAAGCTTTAACCTTTTGAGCGCCACGCCAAAAACTCATTACCGTGTCCTGTACGCCAAAGCGCCAAAACAAAATAGTGTTGCCAAGAGTTGATATATCGATAACGTAAAATAACTTGTTTTTGTTGGTTTTTTATGCTATAAATGACTCTTTATAAACTGTATGTTTTATTTAATCTTGTGCTGCCCACCACTCTTTTTGAATATGTACTTTGTACATATAAACATAAATAAAAAACAAACAATAACAATAAAATAGTAGTAAACCACAGCACTACTCTCCATCCTAATGACGACACTGTCACGACCGGACGACAACGGCGTAGCTGACCTTCCTTTTTTAAACATTCTTATAATGTTGTGTATCGATTTCAAAATCGATCTAACCGAAATATACAGACATAGATTCATAATATTTTATGTGTCGGGGAAGGCGTAGACCAAGTGAAACACAGAAGAAAAGTCTTACACTCTTATGACAATGGGGATTTAATATGATGCTGATGCTGCTAGATGATTTTGAGACTGAGAAAGAAAATGGCACGACACAAAATGAAAAATTGCTCTTCACACCTTAAGTAAAAAAAACTTTAATTGTAATTTTGTATTATTATTAAAAAAGGTACATAATTATTCATTAATCAACAATTGTATATAATTATTCGCACTAGGTAAATCAGCCTTATAATATTAAAATCTTGGTCATGGAATAAATAAACATAATTGTTCACCAATCAATCAAAAATTCAATTCATCAATCAAAAATCAAAATTCATCATCATCGACGCTTTTCAAAATCCGAATGAGTTCTGAGGAATCGTTCATGTTGAATTGCTCTACTTTTCTCGGTAATCACTTATGACATCATCAGGGTGTCGTTTATCCTTGATCACGGTGCCCAGTGAACTGATTTTCAAAAACGCGCTAAAGATGCACTAGAGTTGAGATATTAGATTTATTATGCGAAGATGATCTGATAACATTTTTTTATTCATTGTAGCTAATTATAGTTTTATGTTTCTAACCTTTAATTTTATTCAAATATCAATAATAATAATAGAAAAAAAAAACACCATTGAGCTGAATTTTGGATAGTTTTCAAGAAATCTATGCTTCCCGCGTTTGACATTAGCGGTCAACCATAGACGACTTTGGCGTGCTGGACTTAGATAAAAATCAATTTTTATTAGTTCAATGTTTCTTAGTACTTGTGGCTCTAGAAGACTTGTTTTTTATACTCACATGTTGCTGGGTTATTCCTATTTTGAGGAGTGTAGAATTAAAATACCTGTAATAATTTTCCAATATCTATATTTCATTTTTTGAGAGCCGGGTTTTTTGTCAACTATAGACGTCGTTGGCGCTCAGGGCCCGCAGGTGTTGGTCAAGTATAGGCGACTTTGGCGCTCAAAAGGTTAAAGGATTCATGGTAAATCAGCTGGAAACTAACTTGTTTCGTTTACATAACATGATTCTATTTTAAATGTATTGTTGTAAACAGATAAGAATAACTTAACAGATCTTCTTTGAAAACAGATAAGAACTGTTATTCTGGTTAAGATTAACAGTAAAATTGTGCCGTAGCGTTTTGTTACTCTCTAAAGAATTCATTGGAAATCAACTAGTAATTCGCTTGTTTAATTATCATAACATAATAATTGTTTAAAAATTATATTAGTACTGTAATGATGACACCGTAAATAATCGATCGAAAAAGAGAATCGATTTTTTAAATGTGTTTTGTGATTAGCAACACTTTTTTTTATTCACAAACTAATGACATAATGATCTACCTAATTTTTATTATTATCTTTTCGGTACTTTTAATTTGTGCAAAAATATTCCCATTGTTTGAGTTAACATCATCCCATAGTTTGATATAATTTTTTAACAAATGCTCATTGTTGGGCGTTCCATGGTCGAAAATGGGCGTCCCCCTTTAAGTAAAAATCTAAATAGTGCAATGAACGAGTTTTGTAATAGAAAGAAGTATTAAGTAATATGTCAGTTAAATAAGTAATATAGTCAATAAATAAATAATGTAATAAAGAAAAAAAAAACAGTTGTAAGCAGTACGGCTACAAAAAAAAAAAAAAACTTGGTAAAAAAAAACTAAACAGTAATATACATCTAGAAAGAAGGGTACTGCAGGAAAGTAGTAGTATGAAAAATAAAAAAAAAAAAATAAAAAACCTAACCTACCCTAACCTAACCTAACCTAACCTAACCTAACCTAATCTAACCTAACCTGACCTGACCTAACCTAACCTAACCTAACCTAACCTAACCTGACCTGACCTAACCTAACCTAACCTAACCTAACCTGACCTAACCTAACCTAACCTAACCTGACCTAAACTAACCTGACCTGACCTAACCTGACCTGACCGGAAAAGAGAGCACCGGAGGAACGACAAAACCTTCTAAAGACTTTAGAAATTGTCACAAGGCAGCTAGACGAACACCGGCGAGAACTCAAAGAAATCAAAGACCAAACAACGCTCGTCCAAAATAGCAGTACAAAAGCCATAGAAATTCTAACCACACAGTCTCCACCCCAATATGAATGCAACGACAAACGGCAGTGGGATGATATAAAGACTGATATTTTGTAGGAAATTAAAAATATAAAATACACACAAACGCAAGATACATTTGACAACACCCCCAGCTCCTTAACATTAAACCTTAGTGAACATCTACAGCCCCTCACCGAACGTCTGGAAGCAGTTTCGTCGGAGCTAAAAACCATACGTGAACTTCAGAAGAAAACGCCACCACCGGCGATAAGCCTTAGTACGGAGCTTGCGCTGGCAGAGATGGCCAATAGTACCAAATCAATTCCGACATATACTCAAAAAGTGAAAGAAAAGCCTGTATTGAGGCCCAACCACACCTTGTTCGTTTCGTCGACGGATCCCAACAAAACAGGTGAGAATGTCATTGAAACGATCAGGAAAGCACTTGATATAAAGAGGACTGGAGCAAGAGTAGAAAAGATAAGGAAAGCAAGGAACCGAAAGGTTGTTTTAAGCTGTGGCACTAAAGAAGATCTGGACCTGATAAGAAGTCAGGTTAAGAAAAATGAAACACTCAAGGCAGAGACTCCAAAAATGAGTAATCCACTTATAAAAATAAAAGACGTATTATCATATCATACTGATGCCGAGATCGTGGAACAGCTGGGAGCACAGAATAAGCATCTGTTCCAGGATCTCAAGGCGACTGAAAACGTCATGAGGGTTCGGTACAGGAAAAGGGCGAGAAACACGCACGAATGTCACCCAATCGTAGAACTCTCTCCAACACTGCACCGGCGTTTCTTAGAAGCCGAAAAAATCTATATAGGCCTACAAAGAAGACCGGTAGAAGACCAATCCCCCTTGGTGCAGTGCACAAAATGTCTGGGCTTCGGTCACACCAAAAACATTTGCCAGGAAAAAGAAAATCTCTGCAGCTATTGTGGAGAAAACCACCCCTGGGAAAAATGCACAAACAGATTAGAAGGAAAGGCTCCTAACTGCAAGAACTGTTTGAGGGCACATGGCAAAAACTCAGTTTCCCCACACAATGTATTTAGCAATGAGTGTCCTGAGAAGCAAAAATGGGATAGCATAGCGCGGTCACGTATTTCATACTGCTAAGGGCAGCCAAGACGACAGAAGCTCACATTTCCCAAAGACAGACACTCACAGCATGCACATCATTCAAGCAAACCTACAAAGATCAAAACTAGCGACAACAGAATTACTACAGGGAGCAAGGGAAAGGGGGAGTTTCAATAGCCCTCGTACAAGAACCATACGTGGGCAAAAGTGGTGAAATGAAGTTGACCACCGGTACAAAAATCATCCAGTGCACCCTTAAGCGCCAAAAACCCGTGAAAGCGGCAATCATCATTTTCGATGACAGATTGGGGGTCATACATGACCCGCAATTGGTGACCGAAACAGAGGTGGCGGTACTCCTGAGGGCAGGAAAGATGAGATTAGGAATAGTGTCTGTCTACTACGAAGGAGACCAAGACATAGAGCCCTACTTGGTACGCACAAAAGTGGCTTGCGAGAAACTCCAAACCGAAAACCTTCTGGTCGGTGGGGATGTCAACGCTTGGAGCCACTGGTGGGGAAGCAGCCATGAAGACCAAAGAGGTGCAGCTTACAACGCCTTCCTAAACGAAATAGAGCTCCACATTCTCAACACCGGAGACGCACCAACATTCGAGACGTATAGGGGAAACAAAAAATACACAAGCGTTGTTGATGTCACAGCGTGCAGCTTGTCGCTACTAGGAAGAATAGACGGCTGAAGTGTGGATCGGGGACTCACAACATCAGACCATAATGCCATCACTTTTACTCTGCACTTAGACGAGCAACTAACATCATTCGAGTCTAATACCACGCGCAAATACAACACCAAGAAGGCGAACTGGCAGGAATTTAAAACAAATTTAAAAATCTCCCTAGCGGGAAAAAATATAACACCTGACCAAATTTACACTCAAGAGGAACTGGAAACCAAGATTACCGTCTATACAGAAGCCATCTTGGATGCTTGTGATAAATCTATTCCAAAAAAAGGCGTATGGAAGGCAAAAAACAGGCGTCCTTGGTGGTCCAAAACCTTAGAAAACCTAAAAAGAGACGTCCTGCGAAAGAAAAGGCGAATAAGAAACGCCGCTCCCATTAGAATGGCATCCGTTATAAAAGACTACTGTACAGCTAAACAGGAATATGTAGAAAAAACCATTGAAGCACAAACAAGTAGCTGGAAAGAGTTCTGCTCAATGCAAGAAAAGGAAAGCCTGTGGGATGGAATATATAGAGTTATAAGAAAAACTACCAGACGACAAGAAGATATGTTACTGAGAAGTGTCGAAGGTGACACCCTTAATCCGGAGGAATCGGCTAAGCTTCTGGCAAGCACTTTTTATCCAGAAGACTCTGTTGCAACTGACAAGTCCTACCACATAAAAATCCGAAGACTGGTACAAGACAAAAAACCGGAGGACATAGAAGACCTCTCTGAGGAAGATCCAGCTTTCACCCTGGCCGAACTGGAGACAGTGTTGAAAGCATTAAACCCAAAGAAAGCTCCAGGCCAAGATGGTTTAACTTCAGATATTTGCACTGTAGCCATTCAAAGCGAAAAGGAGGTATTCTTGGCGTTGGCAAATAAATGCCTGTCGTTAGCATACTTTCCCAAGCAATGGAAAAAGGCACACGTTATAATTCTCCGTAAGCCGGGCAAAGAGGACTACACTCACCCAAAGTCCTACAGGCCGATAGGTTTACTACCAGTCCTGGGGAAAATAGTCGAAAAACTTATGGTGGGTCGATTGCAATGGTACATCTTACCCAAGTTAAATCCGAACCAATATGGCTTCATGCCACAGCGCGGAACCGAAGATGCCATCCACGACTTAATGGACCATATAAGGTCAGAAGTCCACAACAAGAAGATGGTGCTTATCATCTCTTTGGATATAGAGGGGAGCATTCGACAACGCATGGTGGCCAGCACTCAAGCACCAGCTCATAAAAAAGAAGTGCCCAAGGAACATCTACGCAATGATAAACTCCTTAGTGACCGTAAGATCGTAGTTAACTATGCCAGAACAACATGTGAGAGGGACACCACAAAAGGTTGTGTACAAGGGTCAATCGCAGGACTGACCTTTTGGAACATCATTTTAGATCCCTTGTTACAAAAACTCACAGAGGAAGGAGTATATTGCCAGGCATTTGCAGACTACGGAATCCTTGTATTCTCCGATCACAAGGTCAGTACTACGGAGGAATCAGCCAATGCAGTTCTAAAGAAAGTAGTAAAATGGGGAGAGGGAAACAAATTAACTTTCGCAGCACACAAGACTAACGCGATGCTTATAACTAAGAAACTTAAATTCAATCCCCCAGAAATCTACATGTCAGAACGCAAACTGCAACTGGTTGATCAGATAAAACTCCTGGGAATTATAATAGACCGAAAACTAACATTCAAACCACATGTTACCGCTGTCTGTAAAAAAGCTGCGGAAATTTATAAACAGCTAGCGTGCGCCGCAAAAGTAACGTGGGGCCTAAATGGAGAAATAACAAGGACAATATATGTTGCGGTCATAGAGCCGATTGTGCTGTACGCTTCTAGCGTATGGGCTCCAGTGACAGAACTGCAAATGCTTCGCGATCAACTGCATAATCTTCAAAGAGGATTTGCACAAAAAAATCTGTAGGGCGTATCGCACAGTATCGCTCACGGCGTCACTGGTACTCTCAGGTCTATTACCATTGGACCAGAGAGTCCAGGAAGCTGCATGTCTGTACAAAACAAAGAAAGGATTACATTAGACTATTTACCACCTGGAATGAGATTGGAGAAAAAGGTGAGCTATTTGGATCTTCCACACCCTTCTAAACTCATAACAACAGAGTACGAGCTCCTTGAGGGCGCGGATCTTGAATCTTTGGATTCCCGCCAGGTTACCGGCCCCCATATATATACAGATGGCAGCAAGATAGAGGGACAAGTCGGAGCTGCTATAACTTGGTGGGAGAAAGACAAGGAAATCCATTACTCTACTTTTAGCTTAGCCCCTTCGAGAACCGTGTTTCAATCAGAACTTTATGCACTTTACAGGGCGGTTCAATTGGCAAGGAATAGCAAAGAAAAGACAGTAAACATTATGAGTGATTCTAGGTCCTCGCTCGACCTGTTGGGAAACCCTAAATTGATCCATCCCCTGACAAAGCATATAAAAGAGTGTATAGAAGACATCCGGTCACAGGGGGAGACGAGTGCGGTTTTTCTGGCTACGAGCGCACGTGGGGACTGCCGGAAACGAACGCGCCGATGAGCTAGCAAAGATGGCAGCCCAACAAGCCACTATAACCCCAGACTACGCAGAAGTCCCGTTGTCTTATGTCAAAAGAAAGGTCAGAGAAGAGTCTGTACGAAAATGGCAGGATAGGTACAACTCCTCCAGGACAGGGCAAGTCACTAAAACGTTCTTCCCCGATGTAGAAAAAGCTTATCGCATCGTAAGGAAAGCAAAACTGACACCCTACCAAGTGCAAATCATGACAGGACACGGTGGAATAGCTGAGTACTTACATCGGTTCAAGTTGAAAAACAGTCCCGGCTGTGAGTGCAACCCCAACATCAGGGAGTCTATTTGGCACATCGTCCTGGACTGCCCACGATTCCAGATGGCCAGAATAGATCTTGAGTTTAAACTAGATATAAAAATAAATAAAGAAGTATTACACAATATCTTGGATGACGCTGATAAAAGACCGCACTTCTTAAAGATTGCAGAGTATACAATCCGTTTAGCTGCTAAAAGAAACAGTACTCTTTCTTCTGAATTAACTCAGCAAATGATGAATTTAAGTAATATAATAACACAAACCACAGAAATTAGAATACAGAAGTACAATTAATCAGCCAGCAAATAAACTACTAGAATATGCTGAACTAGGCAACCCAGGTATTAGACTCAAAACGGTAGCCATGTTTATGGACGACTCCTCCGTAAGACTGGGTATTTGCTTCTGCAATGCGATGGCTCCAAATAGAATAATCATCTCACCTGGCCTCGCCTTACTCCTGAAAGGCAGCACCTTCAAAACGAACATAAAACGTAAGAGGTATGTGGCGCTACAGAAGATAACAGTAGCAAACAATCACTGCCGAATAGTGCGTATGCGGAACAAAACCATTGCACTATTCGAAAAAGGCGACGACATCACCGAGTTCGCTCAGGCATGCTCAATGCTAACTGTGCTTACGGAGGCAAGTGAGGCTCAAGAAGTATCACCAAAAATAATAAGCGTAGATGCTATGGTGGTAGAATACGAGAAAGGGAAGGTAGAAGACTACATGGGAGTATTAAAAGCCTCAGAATATCATGAGGTGGTTGTATACGAAGACAGAGGTGAAGACCTCAGTTTTATGAAACCATTCAGACCCAACGAACCTTCACGCTCGTACCGCAGTGACAGCAAAGAACACCCTGAAATACGCCCAGAAGAAATATTAAGTGGATCCGAACGCTTGCAACAAAAAATGGAAGCCAAAAGGAGAAAAGAAAAGCGAACACGAATAATCCCAGCCGGAACAATAGACAAAGTAGCAGCAGTCGCTAGCACCTTCGGTCAAGTCATTGCTGCAATCCCTGCAGTAATCCTGAAGAAAAAAGAATATCTGCGGTCAACAGAGAAGATAGTTGCTGCTGTTAAGAGCGCCGCAAAGTATTTTCCCAAAGGTCAGACAAGAAAATCTCCATGCACATGGACGAAAGCAGACATGGGACAAGTCAATCTGCCGAGTCTCAGGGAGGTATCGGAGCCCCTGGACCACTGGATAAATGCATTCCTCGAGTTTAAAGCTATCGTAAAAGCTACCAGAGAGGTTAACATCATGACCTGTAAGAGCATCTTGGAATCTTTTCATCGAGGCTGTGAAGATCAGCTTGAGGTGAAACTCGAGGAATCCGAGGCTGCTGTGTAAAACAACGACACAGCTGAAGTAATTAAAGGGAAAGTGTCGGGATTGTACATGGCGGCATACAACGCAACGGTTGGTTTTGTGGCTTTGGACGGGACTGAGACAGAACGGTCGGGCCAACTTGTCTTTCGAACACCTCCTCAGGACCCCATAGTGGTAACAGCAAAGTGTACAAGAGTAATGCTCGAGGACGAGATCTTGGACAGGCTCAAGGCTGTGTCCATGACTTTGGAGAAGGGCGGCTCTCTTGAGCATTGGCAGTTGCCAAAAATAACATGGGTCAATGGCGTACGCGGGTGTGGAAAAACATCCTGGGTTATTAACAACTTTGCGGAGGAAAATGATATCATAATCACTACAACAACTGCAGCTGCAACTGACCTGAGGGAGAGGCTAGCATCACGTGTAGGAGCCGATGCAGCAAGAAAGGTGCGGACTATGGCCTCAATCTTGGTAAATGGCATAAGGGCGTCTGAGAAATACTCTCGTCTTTTAATTGACGAAGCGCTCATGAACCATTTTGGGGCTATAGTAACGGCAGTACAAATCACGGGTGCAAGCGAGATTTTCATTGTAGGGGACAACAACCAACTACCATATATCGACAGGCATGATTTGTTCCGACTACACTACACTCGTCCAAATCTCGTGGCTAATATCAACCAAGAATGGCTCTGCACGCACAGAAACCCACTGGATGTAGCATATGCACTAAACGAAATCTATGATGGCGTATACTCATCCAATACTAGGTTGCGATCTCTAGAGCTAAAGAGGTACATGGGTTCACAGATCCCAAAGTCCCTTGAAAATACTTTATACTTGGGACACACCCAGGCTGAAAAGGAAAATCTCATCAGCCAGGGCTACGGAAAAGGGAAGGGATCGCGAACTCTAACCATACATGAAGCTCAGGGGCTCGTGAGCGAGACGGTGGTAATCGTGCGATCTAATAGAGAGAAACAACGCCTATATAACAGTATTCCTCATGCAGTGGTGGCAATCTCGCGCCATACGAGCAATTGCATCTACTACACCGATTGGTGTGAGGAATATGCAATTGCCTGTTTAATTTTGCGCGCCGAGGCTGCCACCACAAGCAGAATTAGGGATTACAACATGAAAATGGCAATACATCATCGAGACTTAAAGGTTGCAAGAAACATTATGAACGTGGTCCGAGACGAAGCGGCATAAACAACAATCAAACAGATGTTAAATGACATAACCGCAACAATTTTACTTACTATTAAAATTGGAAAATTTTTGTAAATTATAGTTATGTTAGTTATAAATTAAGTATTGAGTATAAGATGTTTAATATCCATAGTTTAAGATGCATGAAAAAAATGAAAAAAAAGAACAAAATAAAACAAAAAAAAAAAAGGTCTGGCAAAAAAAAATATATGAATTAGTTATAAGTTAGTTATAAGTATGTAGACAAAAGTTTCAAACCATAACTAACCATAGTTTAAGATGCATGAAAAAAAAAAGAAGAAAAAAAAACAAACCAAAAAAAAAAAGGAAAATAAGAAAAAGAAAAAAAAAATAGAGGCAAAAAAAAAAACAAAAAAAAATTCACTAACCGTTAGATATAAGGCATGATATAGTAATCTATGTTAGTGAAAAAATGTATATTCAAAAAACGCGGAGAGATGTTATAGCTTAGAAACTACATATGTAATGTCATGACAATTATAAAAAAAAAAATGTAACAAAGGGTACGGACTACGAGTCTGTAGAGTTAAAAAAAAAAAAAAACCTGACCTGACCTAACCTGACCTGACCTAACCTAACCTAAACTTTTTTTTTTTTTTACGGGGGGGAAATCCTCATGGACTGCCTCTGCCTGGGGACAGGCGGAGGGATGTGCCGGACTCTTACCGGCTAAAACCACCCCGGTGTCTCCTCGCACGTGCACGCGCGGGGCCGCGGGAATCCAAATTCTTCCGCTGCCCCACACTAGTGCTGGCCCGATCTGTACGGGCCTCGTCTCCTGCACGGGGTAGTGAGGTGTTCAACTACCCCCTGTATCACCTCAGAGGCACGCGCTGACACCCACGCGTGCCTCCGCCTTGGGTCCATTGAATAGGGGGGCGGGGGGCTTCCCCTGGTCCCTCGCCCCTGGACTTATTCATGGGGGCTGGAAAAGGGCGTTGTCCGCCCTTCTCCTGCGCCCGGTGCGCCTTCTGCGGCCAGGGAAGGGAGTCGAGATCTCCCTCTCCCGTTCCGCAGTTTCCTTCTGCGACATCACGTCCTCACAGAAGGACACCACTGCATCCCACGATTCTGCGCTACCGACCATACTCCGCACCAAGGCCGACAGCGACAAATCGCCTCCTACTACATTTGTGAGGACACGGCGCAACACACGCTCGCCGAGTGTGTAGCTTGGGAGGAGCAGCGCCGTACCCGGGTACGCCATTGACGTACGCTACAGGCAGCGCTCGGGCCCCCCAAGTTGGGAAGCAGCGTTGAAAGTGCGCCAGCTGCACGCATCAGCTTGGGCGCCAGCCGCCGGAAGTGGGGCCCAAATTCCCATCGGCTGTCGAGCACCAATCCCAGGTACTTCATGGTGGACTCGACAGCTATCCGGGCCCCGCCGACCACGATGTGCGATCCCGGTGGCGGCGCGCGTCGAAGGCCATGAAACACCATGGCCTCTGACTTGTTAAGGGCCACCTCCAGGCCCAGGCACCGGATGCGGTTCACCACTTGTGAAACCGCAGCCGTGGCAACCAACGCTGCTTCCCTGTGCGAGCTCCCCCGGGCAGTGACGAGCGTGTCGTCCGCATAACAGGTCAAGTCAGCGCCCGACGGGAGCTCACCTCTCAGCACCCAGTCGTAGCGGATGTTCCACAGGAGCCTAACCTAACCTGACCTAACCTAACCTGACCTAACCTAACCTGACCTAACCTAACCTAACCTAACCTGACCTGACCTGACCTCACCTGACCTGACCTGACCTGACCTGACCTGACCTGACCCGACCTGACCCGACCCGACCCGACCCGACCCGACCCGACCCGACCCGACCCGACCCGACCCGACCCGACCCGACCCGACCCGACCCGACCCGACCCGACCCGACCCGACCCGACCCGACCCGACCTGACCTGACCTGACCTGACCTGACCTGACCTGACCTGACCTGACCTGACCTAACCTAACCTAACCAAACACGGGCCAAATCGCTTGAAAGACGCCCAAAATAAAGTCTTTTGGTCTGATCGGCGGCCATTTTGAAATATTTGAAATCAAAATAACTTATGCTCTAGGATTCTTAGTGAGTTGCGGTTTTGGACTTAACTAATACCTTGTTATAGACTTTCCTTTAAGCGTGAAAATACGCCTAATATAAAATCGCGAAGTGAAGCCTCCTTTAAGATAAAAATAAAAGGTCGAAGGAGTGCTTTGTGTGGCAACCCAAACCGCGCGACTCTGCGGCGAAAACTGAGCAAGTTATCAATAATTTAAATTTTGGTCGCCATTTTGGTCGCCATATTGAAAATTTTTAAATTGACGTATCTCCGGAAGTTTTGAGCGGATTTCGACCTACCTAACCTACCTAACCTAACCTGACCTAACCTAACCTGACCTAACCTAACCTACCCTAACCTAACCTAACCTGACCTGACCTGACCTGACCTGACCTGACCTGACCTGACCTGACCTGACCTGACCGACCTGACCTGACCTGACCTGACCTGACCTGACCTGACCTGACCTGACCTGACCTGACCTGACCTGACCTGACCTGACCTGACCTGACCTGACCTGACCTGACCTGACCTGACCTGACCTGACCTGACCTGACCTGACCTGACCTGACCTGACCTGACCTGACCTGACCTGACCTGACCTGACCTGACCTGACCTGACCTGACCTGACCTGACCTGACCTGACCTGACCTGACCTGACCTAACCTAACCTAACCTAACCAAACACGGGCCAAATCGCTTGAAAGACGCCCAAAATAAAGAAGTTTTGAGCGGATTTCGACGCGGTTTTCTATCTTCAGATACTATAATTCGTTAAAAAAAAAACATGTCGTCTAAGTCGGGCAAGACGTGTACTGAAGTCGCAAAATCCAAATCCTCTAGATCTGGTAGAGGCATAAGCCCGGTATCTGCACCGACTTTGCGGAAAAAAGTGCTTTTACAGAACGCAGCCTCTACGCAAAAACCAACTGAGGATATGGAGGACTCTCAAAGGGCTATGTTAGGAGAACCTGGATGTAGTAATCGACCAGACTCGCATACTATAGCCATTGCAAAGGAACCAATAGAGCAAGAGAACGTATCCTCAAACGATCCACAGGAACACGACAGTGCCTCGGAACAAAACAGCTCTGTTGCAAGAGACATGGAGGCAGAATTGGAATTGCTAGGAATTTGCAAGCGTGTACAACGCACTGACGATGAATGGTCAGATGTTGATAGCATCATCAGTGATAACAGTAAGAGATCTAGTATTTTACCCCCCTCATAAAAGCGCGCTGGCATTTCCATGGATCTTGCAACACAGCGGGCTAACGAATTTTTGCTCTCAGAGAAAGAGGCTTTGGAGAAAGCGGGGAACATGAAGCGGGAGTGCAAGCAGGAGGTACATGATTGCCTTCAAGGGCTATACGAAACAGTGCTCTCACTCTCAGACTCACGCTCCCGACATCGGCTTGCATTAGAGCAAGAACGCACCCGAGCAGCAAAAGAGCTGGTTGTAGTTGAGAGAGCACACACCAAACAACTTGCAGAAATTCAATCCTCCTGTATGCAAAAGCTCAAAGACATCCAAGAACTTTTAAAAGACACGCAAAAATCCGCAGAAGCTATTAGGGGATGGCTTAATTATGAGATGGATGATCCTATTAAGACAATTTATCAGATACGGCAGGAAATAAATGAAAATCTTATCAGAGCGATAAAAGACTCTTCTAACTGTCCCTCCGAGGACCGGCGAATATTTCCTGTAGAAGATGTTACGATGATAGTGAACCAGAACAGGGATACGTTCGAGTACATAAAATCCTTAGGTCTCGAAGTTGAACACCTCAAAAATAGTTTGGAAGTCCAGAAAATTGATGTGAAATGTATCACTCAGGCCATTGAGTCACTTAAAAACCCTCGAGTAGACTCCATTGATAGTGATATATGTGACATGAAGAATATTGTGCAGGAATTAAAAGCACAAATACAGAACACATCCCGGCAGGAGATATCCACAGACAAATTCACAGTCGACATAGAGCCTATCTCGCAAAAGATAGGAAAATTAACGGATGAAATAAAAGAACTAAAGGAACATGGAGCAAGTCAGTGGGCTTTTCAAAATAACTCTAGCCTAGGTACCGAGCTAGCAGTAGCAGAGATTAGAGAAAAATTTGACAACCTACAAATATGCAACTGCAATCCACTAAAGGAGGACAACGACCAAAAAAAAATATAATTATGCGACCAAGGAGCAGCAAATTGTCGGTCCAACAAGATCGTATGCCGAAGCTCTCATCAAACCTCGATTTGCTCTTCTTATCGAATCCTCCGACCCTAGGCACACAAGTGAAGATGTTGTCAATACCATTAAAGAAGAATAATATATCAATAATCACGCAGGTATCGGTCAATAGCACGCGGTACGGAACGGACGTGTTGCAAGTCAATCGAATTAAAAATAAATAATAAGTGTGTGACTCTGAGTGTTTTGAGCCCAAAAATGGGCACTAAATGTGACGGCTGCCATGCCGTAATATGTGATGATCTCAGGATGCAGTGTTCGGAGAAAAATTGTGGTAAATCTTACCATCTTGCGTGTCTTGGATTGGGGAAGGAAAAGCTGGAGGCTACCACAGGGGAAAGTGGAAGTAAATGGCTATGCCCAGAGTGCACGAGCATTATCCCTAAAGGTGGTAATTTGAACACGCCAGTACGAGGACCCAAGCAAGTGAATAAGGAACCAGTTACACCTAGCTACGTCAATATCAAGCGAGGTGGCGGCGGCGGTCCGACTACCGTTGATTCTATAGTAGTAGAAAATGAGATACTGAAAGAGTTAAGAGCGTTGAGATATGATTTTAATTGTCGACTAGATAGACAAGCAAAGGAGTACGACCTACTTCAAAAGAGATTTGTTGTTACGGAAAACGAATTACAAAAAGTACAAAAGATTTTGGAGGTAGTTCAAGAAAAAGTAAATAAAATAGATCTTTTAGAGGCTAATATTAAAATATTAGAAAAGAAAAAGGAAGAACTAGAATCAATTTGTAATATGGAGAAAAGTCAGCAGTCAGCAGTCCAGCAGCCGGAAAAGTCAGTTTTAACGTTTGCAAATGTTGCAAAGAAACAAACTCAAAAGAAGGCAGCGGATAATAAAAGTGTGGCCATGAAACCCACGGAGCCGATTGTGCACAAACAATGTATTGTGATAGATTCACAAAATGATCTAACGGATATTACTATTCAAAAAGAAAATAAAATGGAAACTAGTAATTGGACGGTGGTAAACAAGAAAAAGAGATATCCCAACGATGAAGTAAAAAAAGGAGAAAGTACGAATTCAACTGAAATTAAGGGATCAGAGAGAAAAAGGTACCTGCATGTTTGGCGGTTAGACACAGAAACCACAATTGAAAGCCTACAAAAGTATGTTAAAAATATTTGTGGAAATGAAGTGCCCATAAAGATTGACCAAATAAAACATAAGACTCAAAGAGACTATTCTTCATTTATTATAGCACTCCCTGAAAGTAAATATAACGTATTATGCCAACCAGAACACTGGCCTATAAATATTGAATTTTGCGAGTGGGTGTGGTTTCGTCGAAACACCCGTGAGCAACAAAGTGACAAAAAATAGTAAGAATATACAAATTTACTATCAGAACGTGAGAGGACTTAGAACGAAGACAAGCGATTTCTATTTGGCTATTGCTTCATCTGATTCTGATTTATTCATCATTACGGAAACAGGTTGTAATGAGTCGATTTACGACGGTGAGCTGGTCCCACCAGGTCATAGTATTATTCGGTGTGACCGAACAGATGGACGCAAACAAGGCGGCGCGTTTTTAGTGGCCACACCGCGTTTCGAACTGAGACGAATTACGATACCTGACAATGTAAACATTGACAATCATATATTCGAAATAGTTTGCGCTACTGTCTACCTTCGAAACCGGTTTTTGTTTTTGTTGTGCGCTGTTTATATACCGCCTAATAGTAGTGAATGTGAATATATGGTAATGTTTAGAATAATTGAGCAGCTATGTAACAGTTACGACAAGGTTTTAGTGTTAGGAGATTTCAATATGTACTCTTGTCCACTTAGTGTAAATCAATATTTTGAATATTTTATAACTTATTGTGGGTTCATTCAGAGTAACAATATTTACAATTGTAATGATAGATGTCTAGATCTAGTATTGAGCACGGTTGAGGAGCGGGGAGATGGTGTGCGCGTGAGCGGGGCGACCCAGCCGTTGGTGCCGGTCGACGTACAACATCCACCGCTCGATGTAACTGTCTGCTTGCGATCGCTTACTCACACTGACACTATCGCGCATTCAAGGTCAAACACATTTTCAAACATCACCAAAATACCTCCGCAATGGCATTTTAAAAAAAGCTAACTTTCCTTTGTTGTATCATTTAATTGAGACCACAGACTGGTCTTCCATATATGAATTAAATTTAGAAATGAGTTTAGATTACTTCTACGAGTCTATTAATAAAATATTAGAACAATGTGTTCCAAAAAAAATTCAATGTTATAGTAGGTCTAAATACGTGTATCCCGAGTGGTATACCGCCGATGTTATCCGATTAATACAACAAAAAGCTACTCTTCATAAAGTATACAAGAAAAGTAGATCAGGTTTAGATTACGAGGTTTTTTCACAATTTAGGGCTAAGGTCAAACAAAGCATAAGAGAAGCGTATACACACCATCAGCATATCGTTCAAAGTAATTTACAGGAAAACCCTATATCTTTCTGGAGGTATATAAACTCCAAAAAAAGCAATAGAAGTCCTCGGAAAATGTATAAAAACGGTGAACTTCTGACGAATGAACAGTCAGTACATGAGTTAGCCAATTACTTCTATTCGGTGTACAGTCCGTGTAAGGCTAAATTAGATGTAAATTCAGCGATACAGGTGGCTGGCAGTGAGAACGCGGCAGCACGCGTACACCTTAGCGCGTTACAGCTCAGTGAGGTACAGCACGCCCTTAAACAACTTAAGCCAAAGAAATCGACAGGACCAGATGGTATACCACCGTATATATTTAGAGACTGCCGATCTGTTCTAGCTAAGCCTTTGCTTCATATATATAACCAATCCCTGCGAGCAGCAGTATTTCCGGAAAGATGGAAGACGACTAGGGTAGTACCAGTACCGAAAGCTGGTGCCAAAGGAAACCTGGGTGGTAATAGACCTATCGCAGTCCTGTCGACTCCAGCAAAAATATTTGAGTCAGCTATACAGAAGAGCGTATATCATCAAATGGGTATACAATTATCGGATTCACAACACGGGTTTCGGCCGAATAGAAGTACAAGCAGTAATCTTCTTGCGTATATGGCGGACGTGTTACCGACGGTGGACGCGGGCGGGCAGGTCGACGCAGTCTATTTCGACTTCAAAAAAGCGTTTGACCTTGTAGATAATGATATCCTACTCAGAAAGCTAGCAGGCATTGGTTTTACACCACACTTACTCAACTTCTTTGCTAGCTACATGACAGACAGACAGCAATATGTAGAATATGCAGGATACCGATCAGACACATATTTCACGAGGTCTGGAGTAAGCCAGGGTAGTAATTTAGGTCCTTTGGAGTTCATAATAATGATAAATGATCTCCCCAAAATGGTCCAAGAAGCAAAATGCCTATTATTTGCAGATGATTTTAAATTATACCTACCTATAGTATGTAAGGAGGATTGCACGAAGCTACAAAGTGATATAGATAGGGTGACTAGGTGGAGCAAGGAAAACAACTTGCAGCTTAACACCTCAAAATGTGTCACAATTACATTCTCTCGTAGCCACAACCCTATTGTACATAATTATATGATAGAAGACTGTGTACCCATGACTAGGGTCAAGGAAGTTCGTGATTTAGGAGTGGGTATGAATACAGGATTAACTTTTCGTGAACACATCATTAAATGTTGTAAAAAAAGCTTACAAAAGTTTGGGTTTCATACTACGCACAGTTAATAATTTCACAAATATTTACGCAATTACTGCATTATATAATACACTGGTTAGGAGCCAACTGGAATACAATGCGATGATTTGGTCGCCGCACGAAAACAAGTACACTCTTATGCTGGAGCGAGTACAAAATAAATTTTTAAGATACCTGTACATGCGACTGTATGGAGTGTATCCACTCTATCCATTAATGTATCCAACATTGTTCATTTTAGGTATGGTAGGTTACAATGAAATCAGGGTTAGAAGGGAATTTACTCTTGCACGCTATTTGTACACAGTTCTGATAGGCAGAGTACATAACACAGACGTGCTGGATCAGTTGGCACTCCGAGTCCCTGACCGGTACGTATATCGCAGACGCCGGCCGCAGCTGCTGGCGGTACCGCGCGCGAGGACTAACTTGCTGCAGCACGCGCCGCTCACGCGCGCATTCAGAACACTAAACAGAGTCCAAGATAAAATTGACATATTTTGTTGTACTCTGAGTGAATTCACGAAGGTCACATTATATGTAATAAGTTATAGTTAAATCTAGGTTTTTTATGTAATTTTTTGTTTATTTTTTATTTTTATAATCTGTTGTTAGTAGGTAATAATTTTTGTTAGTATTTTATTTAGGTAGGAAATGCTTTTACTTTTATTATATATTTACTTCTATTATATTCTTATTGTTGATTTTAGGTAATAATTTTTGTTAAATCTTAGGATAAGTTACTCTATCGCATTAGGAAACTGTAAAGATAGATGTAAGAGAGAATAAATAAATAAATAAATAAATAAAAATATTGACGTGGTGCAACTAGGAGTGGGAGTAAATAATGTCAGACGAGTCATACAGAAGAGGACCGTAGTAAGTTACATAGTGCGATTAAAAATCCTGATAAAAAGCTCACAGTGTCAAAATCATCTACTAAAAACCCACTTATAAAGTTAATAGGAATATCGAATGATCTCAATAATAAAAAAATAGAGGAAGCACTCGTAAAGCAGAACGTGAAGCTATTCAAAGATATAGAAAAAGATGATATTAAGATTAAGGTCTTAAGACGAATAAAAGGTCGCACAGAAGCAGTTAATAACATAGTTATCGAAGTAAGCCCTCGCGTCTGGAAGGCCATTAAAGACCAAAAGGTGCATGTTGGCTACCAAATAGTCCCAGCTATAGATCAGTCACCTATAGTCCAGTGCTATCGATGCATGGGCTTCGGACATAGAGCAAGCGAGTGTGCAGCTGATAAATCAACCTGTGGTTATTGCGCGGCGAACATGACAGCAGAAAATGTCCACGAAATAATGGAGCACCTTCATGTGCGAACTGCATTAAAAATAAAGTCAAGGGGGACCATAGTCACGCAGCATACAGTGCTGAATGCTTAGTATGGCAAAAATGGGACCGAATAGCGAGATCCTTAGTTGCATACTGCTAAAGTAGATCAGACAAATGACATCGAACAAACACAGATCAGCACAAACATTATAAATAATATGCCAGAAGACACGCAAAGTGTAAAAATCGTGCAAGTTAATCTTGGGCGAGGAATGGCGGCATATAAAGAATCTTTACAAATGGCCGTCAACCAAAGAATTACACTTCTCTTACTGCAAGAACCATATATTGGTTCAAAAGGGCATGTTACTTGTAATCGCCGCGTTATACAAAAACTGACTAACATAATTGATAAACCGGTTAAATCGGCAGTCATCGTTGTTGATCCCACGTACTTAATTATAGAAAATCCAGAATACATAAGTGAAAATATAGTAGGCTTTATAATTAAAGTAGGAAACCGTAGCTTAGAGTTAGGAGCTGAACGACGAGATTTAATAAGATTAAGAAGAAGAATAAGATTTGCAAATGCAAGGCGTAAACCCTTCCTTATCCAAGAATTTACAGCAGCCAAAGAAAAATATTTGAGTAACATAACGTCTACAATTACTGCGAGCTGGAAGGAGCTATGTACAAAGCAGGAAAAAGAGACAATATGGCAGAGCATTTACAGAATTATTAGGAAATGCACAACAATAAACGAAGACAAACTTTTGCGTTTAGGAGAAAAAACTCTCAATCCGGATGATTCAGCTAAGTTACTAGCTAAAGTATTCTACCCTGAAGATGAAGTAAATAAGGACACCGAAGAACAAGGAAAAGTTCGTGATGAATCGAATGCAATTATTAAAGATCTAAGATATGACTCTATTAATTTTCGGAAATTCACCGAAGAAGAAATAGAAATGGTACTACAAAGAATAAGCCACAAAAAGGCACCAGGAGAAGATGGTATAACATCAGACATCTGCTATGAGGCTTACAAAACTTCACCGTCAACGCTGAAGGCAATTTTCAACAAGTGTCTAGAATTAGGGCACTTCCCCATGATCTGGAAAAAGGCTGTAATAAAAGTCATTCCAAAGCCTGGGAAAGATGATTATTCAATACCTAAATCATACCGACCTATTGGATTACTACCGGTATTTGGGAAGATTTTAGAAAAATTATTTGTAGGGAGACTTCTATGGCAGTTAGGAAGTGAAGATAAACTCAACAGTTTGCAATACGGATTCATGCCACAGCGCAGCACAGAAGACGCTTTATATGATACAATGACGGTGATAAGACAGGGCATCAAAGAAAAAATGATAGTTGTAGTGGTATCTCTCGACATTGAAGGGGCATTTGATAATGCTTGGTGGCCCCAAATAATCACAGAAATGAAAAAGAAAAGGGTTAGTCCAGAGATTTTCAGGTTAGTCACTAGTTACCTGTCATCTAGAAGTATTTTACTAAAGTATGCAGGAGCAGAAGTCACAAAATCAACCACCAAAGGCTGTATACAAGGGTCTACCTGTGGACCTATCTTCTGGAACATTCTTTTAGATCCCCTTCTCGAATCAATTTCAAAATTACATGTCCGTATACAGGCGTATGCGGATGACATACTTGTTATTGCAAAAGGACATTCAGCTAATGCAGTAGAAGAAAAACTAAATCCGGCTTTAGAACAAATAGTGGCATGGGGGAAAAATACAAATTGAACTTCGCACCACATAAAACTCAAGCAATTGTAATCACAAAAAAGCTATCCTATGAAATTCCTACAATTAAAATGAATAATATTATTATCAAACCATCTTCGAGTCTGAAAGTACTTGGTGTTACTTTTGACACAAATCTAAATTTTGTAGAACATTTAGATGAAGTTCTCAGAAAAGCACTAAATATCTATAAAACCATATCAAGAACAGCAAGAGCCAACTGGGGTCTTAACTCAGATATAGTGAAAATAATATATGTAGCTGTAGTGGAGCCAACTATTCTTTATGCGGCAAGTGTATGGGCCACGGTAGCGAAAAAAGAATACATGAGGAAAAGATTAGAACGTATTACAAGAATGTTTGCAATTAAGATTTGCAAAGGCCACAGGACAATCTCATTCACGTCTAGCGTGTTACTATCAGGAATCATCCCTCTTGACTTAAGAGCATTGGAACATCTTTCACTCTATGAAATCAAGCGAGGAAAGCCATTAACACAACTACCAGGAAGAACCATAGAAAAACCAGTAAGCCCATTCTGTTTACCCCATCCCGCTGAAAGGTACCGTGTATTTTTCAAGATGTTAGTTACACAAGAAGAAGAAAACGCAATCGACGGCCTTAAGCCGAGAATATACACGGACGGCAGTAAGTTAGAAGACAAAGTAGGTGGCGCTGTCAGTGTGTGGAGAGAGGATAAAGAAATACTCAAATCAACATTTAGGTTAGAAAGTTACTGCAGTGTTTATCAGGCTGAACTTACTGCGATTCTTAAAGCACTTGACATGATGTGCAAGATCAGTAAATTAAAGAAAGCAATAATACTAAGTGACTCACGATCAGCTTTAGAGTGCCTAACTGACAGCTCATCTCTCCAGCCTCTTGCAGTTGAAATACGAGAACGCTTAAGAGAATTAAAAAATAAAGACGGTGATGTTGAGTTGTACTGGGTCAAAGCGCATATTGGTATACCCGGCAACGAAAGAGCTGATGAACTTGCAAAGAAGGCAGCACTGTCAAACAAACAAGCCGCAGCTTATGACAAGTGCCCCCTGTCCTTCGCGAAGCGACTCATCAGGGACTTTACCTGCATGAGGTGGCAACAACGATACAATGAAGCTACAACAGGAGCAGTCACGAAGATATTCTTTCCGGACATAAGACAAGCACACAGTACACTTAAAAATATTAAACTAGATAACGTTAAGACGCAATTGTTAACAGGTCATGGAGGTTTTAAGGCGTATTTATTCAAATACAAATTAACGCAGTCCCCATCTTGTGCATGTAGTAGTGAAATAGACGAAACAATTTTACATCTGTTAATAGATTGCCCGAGATTTGCTTTGAAAAGATTGGAATGCGAGCAGAAGATGGGAATTTCAATTAATGATACTACCCTAAAATACGTTATTAACAACGATGACTGTCGGACCCATTTCCTAAAATATGCAGAAATAGTCGTTCGTACCGTAGGAAAAGCAAATGGGTCCAAAATAGCATAGTTTTATAAGTTAAAAGTATATAAAATTAAAGCAATGGACAAATGCATTAAAATTGTATAAGGCAACTATGATAATATAATGGTTACTTTGTACTTTGTATAATAGTAAGTATGTGTATATGTGTATGTGTACGTATGTGTATGTGTATGTGTATATATATATATATATATATATATATGTATGTATGTATATATATATATATATATATATATATATATATATATATATATATATATATATATATATATATACAGGGTGTTTGGTGGGTGGTCCGACAAACTGAAATGGGAGATAGATGGGTTCATTAGAAGCATATTTTCTTAGTAAATTTTTTTTTCTATCTCTTACCATTTTTTTTTTAATTGAATTTTTAAATTTTTTTGTAATTATCCCAATTTTCTAGTATTTTGGTTCAATAACTTCTACTATTTCCAGTTTTCTACCATGTTTTTTTTATTTTCCCTAAGAAATATATTTTTTTTTTAAATTAAAAAGAAAGATTGAAAGCCTAAAAGGCATAAGAAAAAATACTTACGACACATTGAAAGTGAACAAACGAGAAAAAAAATTGTAAGCCCTTAAGTTTCCAGCCCCTTAAAAAAATAAATAAATATGTTGAGTAATTTCAAATGGCCATAAAAAAAATTCTATTTCATCCTCTTTCTATCGGTATATCACATGTTACATAAAACTTTAAATTATCAACAAAATTATTGATAATCAAATGTGAGGACGGGGGAATTAAAATATTACAAGTTCCGTAAAAATTGCCAGGGCACCCTAAACTGGTTTTTACCCGTGTAAATATTTTTATGGTTTCATTTATGCGTGTGCGAGCCAGGTAGATGTTGTCTCTTTCTGGTGGTACAGGCGAAGTTACGACGCGCGGATCAGCTACCTGCTTCTGTTGTTATTTAATTTAGTCGTGATTTGACTGTCTCTGAAGCTACTTGCGAGTTCTTTTTCGACATTCATTGTTGAACAGTTTCGTTGAGTTTAGTTTTTGTTTCGTTGATTGTTAAGTTTTTGTTTGTTATTTGTTTCTGTTTTCGGACGGTAGTGTTCAAACTTAATTCAAAACACTGCAGTGATTATGGCTCAACGCACTTATTTTACTAACCAGGAATACGCTGATATGCTTTTGGTTTATGGCCGGGCCCTAAATAACGGCCACAGAGCACGTAGACTTTATGGAGAGCTGTATCCCACGAGAAGGTTGCCTAGCCATGATACGTTTGCAAATACTTATAGAAGGCTACGTGAAACTGGCAAATTGCAACACAGGGAACCAGGAGTACGTGGAAGACCACTTGATGTTGCTGTGGATGAGCGTATCTTGGCGGCTTTTGACGATGATCCCACTATAAGCATTAGAAAAGTAGCGACTGAACTCGGCTTTTCTGTATGGAAAGTGTGGTCGGTTCTCCGCAACCATTGCAAGCACCCATTTCACCTCACCCCAGTGCAAGGTACTTATTATTTCTTCTTTTTATAAAATTACTGTTTATCTTATACATTATTAATTATTTCATACATTTTAAAGTGAGTAAAGTAACTTATTTTTTGTGCTAGGTATCGTGGAAGGAGATTTTGCACGGCGTACAGAATTTTGCAGCTTTATACTGCACAAAGATGTCGACGATAATCAATTTTTGAAGAGCATTTTATGGACCGACGAGTCGAAGTTTACACGAGAAGGCATTTTCAATCAACATAATTTACATTATTGGTCAGATAAAGATGAAAACCCACGTAAAACGAGACAAATATCGCATCAGACACGGTTTAGTGTTAACGTGTGGGCAGGTGTGATCGGAAGATATTTAATCGGTCCTCATTATCTACCTGATAATTTAAACGGAGATAATTATTTACATTTTTTACAAAATGATCTCCCGGAACTAATGAGCGAGGTACCAATAATGAATGAGGACACAAGAATAATATTTCAAAACGATGGCTGCCCTGCCCACTATCGCAGAACCGTGAGGGAATATTTAGATGCGGTATTTCCGAACACGTGGATAGGGAGACTCGGACCTATCGAATGGCCTGCGAGATCCCCAGATCTGACTCCACTGGATTTTTATGTCTGGGGCCGAGCAAAGGAAATTGTATACGAAAATGAAATACAAACAAAAGAAGAGTTGATTGGAAAAATAAATGCTGCTTTTCATATTATGAAAGAAGAAATACGATTAAAAACTACCACGACTGAAATACGTCGAAGATATCGAGCGTGTCTGCATAATGTAGGAGGATATTTTGAACAAAATTTGTAAATTTAGTAAAAAATTACTAGTACTTATTTTTTTATTATTATTGAGCAAGACCCTGGTTAGTGTAGTGTAGACACAACCATTAACTTTTTTGTATTAAATACAATAATAGGCGCTCGTATGAGCTGGTAGCTGTAGCTGACCCGCGGGTCCTAAGCGGAAATATTTTAATTCCCCCGCCCTCACATTCAATTATCAATGATTTTGTTAAATAATCTAAAGTTTTATTTAACATATGATATACCGATAGAAAGAGGGTAAATCAGGAAAGTTTTTAAGGCCATTTGAAATTACTCAACATATTTATTTATTTTTTTTAAGGGGCTGGAAACTTAAGGGCTTACAATTTTTTTTCTCGTTTGTTCACTTTCAATGTGTCGTAAGTATTTTTTCTTATGCCTTTTAGGCTTTCAATCTTTCTTTTAATTTAAAAAAAAATATATTTCTTAGGGAAAATAAAAAAACATGGTAGAAAACTAGAAATAGTAGAAGTTATTGAACCAAAATACTAGAAAATTGGGATAATTACAAAAAAAATTTAAAAATTCAATTAAAAAAAAAATGGTAAGAGATGGAAAAAAAATTTACTAAGAAAATATGCTTCTAACGAACCCATCTATCTCCCATTTCAGTTTGTCGGACCACCCACCAAACACCCTGTATATATGTATACATATACATACATATATATATAAAATGGAAAATAATAATTTTACAACAAGTTTATTTAGTAGTTATTATATGTATAAAATAAGGTATAACTGTAAATAACTGTAAAAAAAAGGTTGTTTGTAACAGTTATTAACGCAAAAAGTAGCTTGAAGTAAATTTGTGATAAGAGTAAATATGTATAAACAAAATAAAAAGAAAGAACAATTGATAGCACAGGAAAATAATAACAAAAAATATTTTGTGAAAATAAGTTTGTAATATTGATAAGAAAAGTCACTATTTACAGTGAAACAAATAAATGTATCTTAGTAAGCATTCGAAATAGTATAAACAAATTTTGTAAAACACAAGCTTATAGTAATCTTTGTAAAATAGCAATAAGACCGAAAAAAAAAGAAAAAAAAGAAAAAAAAAAGAAAAAAAGAAAAAAAAAAGATAAAATGAACAGGTAAAAAAAAAGTAACCAAGGGTGCTGCATGTATAGCAGCAGTAGAACAGATTTAAACAAAAAAAAAAAAACCTAACCTAACCTAACCTGACCTGACCTGACCTGACCTGACCTGACCTGACCTGACCTGACCTGACCTGATCCGACCCGACCCGACCCGACCCGACCCGACCCGACCCCGGACCCGACCCGACCCGACCCGACCCGACCCGACCCGACCTGACCTGACCTGACCTGACCTGACCTAACCTAACCTAACCTAACCTAACCTAACCTAACCAACTACATCTTTGCTTATAACTTTGCTAAAAATAGTATATTTCGTTTTTATTAATTGTTATATGCTTTAAAATGGCCAATTCTAACTGTGAAACCCCTCTTTGTGATACAATTAATAACTCCGGCCAAAATGAAAACCGCATATCTCTCAGCACAGCGGAAAGCCTTAACGCTATTAGTAAATTGGCAAACACAATCATAACTACCATCTCAACGGTAAGAAGCGTCACGGCTGAAAATAAAAAAGGCAGTAATAGACATGGCGCACGACATAAATCGCATAATACGGGAAACTAAAATTACAGCGGAGTTTACCACAAGCATATATGAGGTTAAAACTTCTCTCCAGAATACAATTAGAGAAGAAATCGCCAAAATGTCGCCTCCTCCTGTACAAGTTAAATCTTATGCTAGCGTCGCTTCAACCCCTTTTTTGAAACAAACTCAACCATCCGCCACTCCAGCAACTAAGCCAGCCATAATAGTAACACCAACAACAACTGTCAATTCCAGAGAGGAAATCATGGAGTCTTGGCGTAAAAGCATATGTTTTAAAAAAACTAACTATGCACCTTCCAAATTAAAAATTATCTCTAATAACAAACTTAGGGTCGAATTCGATACTTGTGTACAGAGAGACGATGCGTTGGAGCGATTAAAATCCGCCCCGGCTGTTACTGCCGTACCTGCGCGTAAAATGAATCCTATGATTATATTGAAAGGAATCTCTCACGACGTTCCATCTGATGAGTTAGCTGACATCATTGCCGGACAAAACCAAGAACTCGGAGAACTTATTGAAAACAAAGATGACCTATGCCTACGATTCAAAAGAAAAAATAGAAATGATAAACTATACAACGCGGTATTTATATGTAAACCACAAATATGGCGCAAAATAATTAACTTGGGTAGAATCAACATTGATCACCAACGAATTCAAGCCGAGGACTTTTCACCATTTATACAGTGCTTTAGGTGTCTGCAATTCGGTCACGTCCAAAACAAATGTCCCAACAATACTCATCCATGCTCTCACTGTGCAGCAACTGACCACACGATTACACATTGTCTGCTAAAGACCGATAAATCTTCTGCTAATTGTTATAACTGTCAAGCGCACAATAATAAATTCCAAACTAAATTCAATATACAACACCCAGCTACTTCTCTATCCTGTCCGAGAGTAAAATCTATGAAGGAGCGAATAAGTCAAAGTATCGATTATGGATCCGACAACTAAAATAAAATTAATCCAGTGTAACATAGACAGGTCTAAAAGTTGCCAACACGAATTTATTCGCTTTTTTTATGGATAACGATTACTCGATAGCTTTACTCTCGGAACCGTACATCGGAAATCTCCAGGAAATGAAATCGATAAAAGGCCTCAACATATATCAGTTTCCAACTAATAATAATAAAGTTAAAGCCTGCATCATTGCCAAGCCCAAGTGCGGAGCGTTGTTAGGAATCACACAATTTTCATCCTCCAATCTTTGCGTTGTACAAATAACTGTAGGTAGTAAAAAACTATATATATCTTCCGCATACATTGAACCCAGATGCGATGAATCAGCAACACTTGAACGTGTGGATGCATTCTTAAAAGCTACTAGTGACTCTCACCGTATTTTGTGCGGAGATTTTAATGGGTGGCTTCCCTTATGGGGTAGCGAGACTTCGAATCCAAGAGGGCGCGATGTGGCAGAAATCATGTTTGGAAACGACATGTATATCTGTAATACCGGCTCAACTCCAACTTTTGAGACAGTAACCCATGGAAGAAATCGTACATCAATTATAGATTTAATCTTTGCATCTGGATCCATATATCAGCAGATGTCAAGTCAATCTTGAGGCTTGCCCTTTATCACACATAATGCAGTCGAAATGGTATTAAACCTCTACAATACAAACTTATCAAATAATAACACATCCACCTATCAATACAAAAGTAATAAAGCAAACTGGGCAGAGTTTAAATCTGCCTTGAATACCCATTTGTGTAACAGCGGATGCCTGGATGTGAACATCTCCACACTTGGTGCCACTGAACTAGAAGATTTTATAACAAAAACCACTGACATCATACACGAGGCATGTCGAGCATCTATGCCTGTCAGAAAAAGCGGCGCCAAGTATAAGCCAATATGGTGGACTGAAAAACTAGAAAATTATAAAAAGGAAGTAATCAACCTTCATCACAAGATACACCAAGCTAAAAAAAGAGGTCTCCCTCTTGATCAGTTGATAAAAGAGAGACAGGAAAAGAAAAAGGAGTATGCAGAAGAAATTCGGCGAACGTCAACTAATAACTTCAAGGAATTTTGCCAACGCCAAGACAAAGAAAATGTTTGGTCACTTACGAACCGACTGCTAAAAGAAACGAAACGAAATCGCCCACCAAGTACTTTACAAATTGGCAACACATATACCGATAACGAAGAAGAAACTTCAAAAGCATTACTCAATCAATTTTACCCTGATGACACTCCTGATTCCATTCCCAGACACGAAGAGCTCAGAAAAGACTATAACACTTTTCCAAATACAGATAATGACATCCCATTCAGTGAAGAAGAAATACTTGAGCACATCCAAAGTATGAACCCAAAGCGAGCACCAGGAGTTGATAATCTTACAGCCGACATTTGCACACATTTTGCTCTAGCTTACCCAAAGTTACTAACTAATATAATGAATCGATGTCTCTCTCTTCAATATTTCCCACGGCAATGGAAAATAGCTTATGTTAAAATTATTCCGAAGCCTAATAAAAATAATCCTAACGACTTAAGCGCATTTCGCCCAATTGGTCTCTTACCTGTATTTGGAAAATTATTGGAAAAAAGTTTCATAGCCAGGGTCAAATATCAGGCCACAAGAAATGGCAAAATGTGCGACCGACAATTCGGCTTTAAAGAGCAGACTAACACCACAGCAGCCATATCTTCAGCTATAGAAATTGTTAAAAAAAGCCAAGCAAAATAACCAACAAGTTGTAGCAGTTTCCCTGGACATCAAAGCTGCGTTTGACAACGCTTGGTGGCCTGCCTTGTTTCAAAGACTTAGACATATCCAGTGTCCCCGCAACATCTTTGGGTTGATACATGACTATGTCAAAGACAGACAAGTCACACTGGATTATGCAGGGTATCAGACCACCAAAACTATGTCTAGAGGTTGTGTACAGGGATCAACTTGCGGCCCAACTTTATGGAATATAATATTGGATGAATTGTTAGAAATTCAACTTCCACCCGGATGTCATATCCAGGCTTTTGCCGATGACGTCTTACTAATCGTTCACGCACAGGATGTTAATAAATTACAATTAACCACTAACTCGGCATTAAACAAAATTCTCCAATGGGGACATAGTGTCAAACTCACTTTCAGCTGGGAAAAACGCAAGCAATTGCTTTTACCGCCCAAGCTAAAACAGCGAAGCTCAAAATAAACGACAATACATTACCTATAGTAAAGCAAATAAAATTACTCGGAGTAATAATCGACTCAAAGCTCACTTTTAAAAACCACATTAAGTACGTTCTAGATAAAGCCACCCGTATTTTCCACAAATTATGTATATATTGCCGACCCACTTGGGGGATTAATCCCGAAAATATTAGTATAATCTACGATCAAGTAATTGAACCTACAATCACTTACGCTGCTGGTGTTTGGGGTGAAGCCACTTCCAAAAAGTGTTGTAAGAAATTGCTGGAACGAACTCAACGCCTGTTTGCCCTCAAAGCTATACAAGCTTTTCGCACAGTATCCACCGCAGCAGCATTAGCTCTCGCTTAATTCACGCCTCTTGATCTCAAAATAAAGGAAGTGCACCAGCTTGAAAACATCCGAAGCTCTGGTATAACCCAATATTTGCCTGAAGATATAACCCTGGAAAAGCCCACACCACCTCAATACCTCATACATCCAGCTTGTAGAATCAAAATCTTTAAAAATTTCTCACCAGGTAATGAACCTCCTTATAGTGACCCTAACCAAACGCTTATTAACATTTATATAGACGGTAGCAAATTAAAGGATGGAAAGGTGGGAGCCTCCTTCGCAGTATTCAACAATGATAGAAATATATTAGTTAAAAAATTTAAGTTACATGATAGCTGTACAGTCTTTCAATCAGAACTTTTTGCCATTGATAGAGCTTGCGCATGGACCATAAAAAATAATATTAATGAGGTTAAAATATTTTCAGATAGTATGTCAGCGATTTATGCAATAAATAAACGAAGTAATACTCACCCTATTGTGACAAACATACATAGTAAGATAAAGAAAATAGAGGAAATTGGTAAAATTACCATCACTTGGATTAAAGCTCATACGGGTATTGCTGGGAACGAAGCAGCTGATTTAGCTGCGAAGAATGCAGCAAAATTAACGAAGGGATGTGATTATTTAAAATTTCCGATCAGCTTTGCGAAAGCAAAAATAAAGAAAGAAAGTCTAAATCACTGGCAGCATCGTTACGCCAGTGCATCACAAGGGAAACATACACGAGAACTCTTACCCGATATTGAATCCATTAAACAGCTTTGGCAATCTACTAAAATTAATTTTAAACTCACCCAAGTATTAACTGGTCATGGTTTCCATAAGCAATATTTACATAGGTTTAAAATTTTTAACAACAATAAATGCCCTTGTAATGGTGACAGTATACAAAGTTTCGACCACTTATTAAAATATTGCGCTAGATTTCAAGCACAACGACTGGAACACGAATTTAGATGCCAAATGATAAAAATATCACCATATAAATTGAAGGAGCTGATAACAAAGGAATCCTCAATAGCATCATTCGTGGATTTCGTGAATTATATAGTTGATCAACTTAAAAGCTTTAACAGTAAGCAATTTATTAATACAAAAAGTTATATATATGTATATGTATGTGTATGTATGTATGTATGTGTGTATGTATGTATATGTATGCGTGTATATGTGTATGTGTATATATATGTATATATATATATATATTTACATTAAATATTTATCTATTTAACAACTAATAATACACAGTGCTTATTAATCAGAGGTAAAACATGTAACGAGCGATAACATGAAAAGCCAGGTGAATTGTATCCCATTAGCAATCACACGGCTTTCATGTATGTAGAGAATTATAAAATAAATTCTACGTATACAGCAAAGAAACCCCAATAATACCGTTGAATAAAAGCACCTAAAGCGCCAAAAGAAAAGTCTGCAGAATACATTGTAAAAAAAGGCGAAACAACGTATAAGGAAAAAAAAAACTAACCTAACCTAACCTAACCTAACCCAACCTAACCTAACCTTAGAAGTACTAGCCTTCCTGACCCCAGCGGCGGATCTGGTCTATGGCTCCGCCGCCAACCAAGATTCGGCTGCGGAGGATAGGGAGAGCGGCGCCTCGCAATACCGACAATCCTCTCCCCCCGCAGCCCCATCACCACCGTATCAACGGTGCGGCCCCGTTTGAGTCGCGGAGGATAGGGCGAGTGGCGCATCGCCATACCAACACTCCTCTTCCTCCGCGACTCCACCTCGGCTGCAGCGGTAGAGAGTGCGGAATCCCCACTCGCTGCAGTCCACCAGCACACATCCGAAGTGGGCTCCCCAATCCCACTCGGAGTGGCCACTTCAGGCCGGCCCTTCACCTCGGGCCAGCCACGTGGGTTCCTCTTTGTTCACCGTGGGAGACCAAGCCACGGCTACTAAGCCCCCCCGCCACGACGAGGAGGGAACCCGTTCGGGGGGGAACTTAACCTAACCTAACCTAACTACTTATATTAAATCAGTTCCTATGTTATCATTAATCTTAATCTTAGTTCTTAACCTTAATCTTAGTTAATTAGTTATTAATCTTAGAAATCCCTGCCTAATTAATAATTAGCCATATTACAAAAATGAAATAAACTTTGTATTCTCCTAGTAAATATCTGGATAGGAGTCCGTAAATTAAATAAAAAAATAATGTTTTTGATTCAACATTCATTAACCTCAAGTATTTTTTATTACAATTAAAGGGTATTTGTTTTCAACAATCATATTAAACCAACTTTTCTTATCTATCTAGTCATATTTAAAATTTACCAGAGTCAGGTTATGGTGCAAAAACACCAAAGATCTGCCTTATCTGGCAGAAGTTTGTTACGTTTTTTTTTCGTGGTGTGACGGCCCAATATTATTATTAATAATTAAATTCAATATAAAGGGGCGTCAAAAATAGTTTTAAAAGATATATATTAAGCAATTAAGTTAAATTAATAAACATAAAGTTAATATATTTCAGACATTAGCCCAATAACATAGTAAATTAAAGGCAAAATTATTGTTTTTCGTAATAAATAAATTTATTTAAAAACTTTAAAAAATATTTAAAATAAGATAAATAATAGAAATACAAGTCAAAAATATTATAAAATAAAGTTAAATAACGTTTATAAGATAATTAGAAAATTTGTTAAAAATTGTTTAAGTCATGGGAGGTGTTCATGTATAAAAGAAAATTTTCCTAAGTTGTGGAAGGAGTTCACGTATAAAAGAAATTTCCTAAGTTGTGGAAAGAGTTCACGTATAAAAGAAAATTTTCCTAAGTTATTGAAGGTGTTCATGTATAGATGTCTTGTATGGAGGAGCTCCTGTAGTTGTACATATATATGGGGTGGTCGGGAGCCCGACTGCTTGAAGTACTGTAGCACAATGACTAGTCCTATATTAGGGACTTATGATATATTATATTATGGTCTCCATGATGAATTTGCATTACAATAGTAGGATCGTGGGTTCGAACCCTATGTATTAATGACTTATGAAAGTAAGGTCTATGATCCAAAAGCAATACTATAGAAGGTCTCTATGATTAATATGCATTACACTAGTAGGGTCGTGGGTTCGAATCCTATATATATGACTTATGAAAGTAAGGTCTATGATACAAAAGCAATATTATAGGAGGTCTCCTTGATGCATAAACATTGTATGGGGTGGTCGGGTGACTGACTGCTCCTAGTACTGTAGCAAAATGACTAGTCCTTATTAGGGACTTGAAAAGGAATATTATGGTGGCGTGTGTGCTGCTTCACGAGCAATTGGTCCGAGGTAAACTTGGACTCGCTAACCGATGTGTCCTAGACATATCATCTTAGTGCTGGTGGTAAGCGGGTTTGTTGTAGCAATACGGCTTTCCCGTGGACATCGCACACCCATACCGTTTGTGGGCGACGTAGTTGCGCATAGCGATGGTCTATCTTTCGGATTGGGATGATGAGTGTGTTTGGTAGCACTTTTAAGTGTAGCAGGCATACTCAACTTCATGTCTTAGTGCATTAGCGCTATGATACGTGGAGTTTTGTTCATTGGCGTCTTAGTAGCGTGCTACTATGATACGTTGGTGATATTTTTTATATAACAACAATAAAAACTTTGTTGCCAAAATCGATAGGAGTCATGTGGGTGTGTTGTGAGGGGGCGCCACCCGTATGGTAGTTGCATTGATGCTTACTGCTACTTGCGGTATTGCGTCTTGTGATGGATCTGCGGGTGTGCTGCGCCTGATTCGATGCATTCCTGTGGTTCTGGTCGATGGAGGTATACGGGTGGTGATGTCTGCTGGGATGTATGGGGGACCTTGGAATGGTGTAAGCCCGACGATAGTCGTATTGATGCTTGTTGCGTTCTGCAGCATTGCGTCTCTGCGATGGTTGTTTGGTGGGACGCTATTCTCAATGGCGCTCTCGGCGTCTTGGTTTGACACACACCTAAGTAGCTTTGCCCAAGTGGGGTCCCTTCATTGCGGGGCTGCAGACTGTCTGCCCTCCACGATGTTGTTGAGCATATGTGTCGACCTCATGCGGGTGGTAGCTGGCAGGAGGATCTGATGAGACTCTCAAGGCTGCGGCCGAAAGCCGCACAACGTGGGACCCCATTCCCTTGAGGTGAGCAGTAGACTCATGACACATTCTGCGGCTAGTAGTCGT